TTGTTTAATATATATGTCAGATTATTACAATTCTTTCGAGAAAATAAATAATATTTATTGGAAATCCAAAAAAAGAGATATATCATTTTTTGTCATCATAAGGATAGTTACTTACTCTATAGAAGAAACATACAAAGATCATATAGCTTAATCATTTCTAAAATTTCATCATTATCTACAGGAACTTAGTTAATTATACATCACGAATTCATTTCAAGACTCTTTTCATTCCAAAAACTTAGATTTATTCAAATTTAGTTTCCTTGACTTCATGTCTTCTTAAATCTTCTTGTTAATTATATTCTATTTCTAAAGGCATATGATTATTCGATAAGAATTTTTGATAAAATACTATATATGTTCTATATCCTTTAAAATTAGAACTTAATTATAATTAACTTTATAATAGTTAGATCTAAATTCAATATTCTTAACAAACTTAGTTATGTATAATTTCTATTACTCCAAATTTTCATTGAAATCCTTATTTAAAATATCATTTGATGAATATAGCTTATCTGATTTAATACCTAGCTTAAACAATTTATTGGATTAATTACTTTGTTTTTTGTTGATTTAATATGAGAAAAATTTTTACTAGTTACTAAAAAATTACTTCATATACCAACCATAAATCATTCTATTAATTAAATTCTTTAAGCTTAATTAATTAAATTGTTATAAATTATTAATCGACCACAGATGCAAAAGCGTTCAACCTAATATATCAATTTAATCAGGTAAAAGGAGGGATAATTTATACTAGAGAATAATCAAGGATCTTTTTTAGTAATACTTTTTCATATATTGATGCATTTATGAGAGATAAAAGAGATTATATCAAACATTGGTTAATGAATTTGGAGAGAATTCTTTATGGTAATTAATATGAAATTCAAATAAATCCTTTAATTGCATACTTTCTGAATTGTAGTATTAAAAACATTATAGTGGTTGATTTTAGATATATTCTTTTTGACTAGGGATGTTCTTAATAGTAAATTTCTAAAACTTTGATCTTATTATGAATGTCTATGGCATTTTTTATAAAGACTTAACGTTGTTCTTACTTACTCATGAAATATCATAGTGGCCCTTGATGTTAAAAATTAAGAGTAGAGCCAATAAATGTTTAGTTTGTATCTGATAGTAAATCAATAATTTTTACAGTCATTAATATTTAGTTAATTGTGGATTTCATAAATAATATCCTTGATAAGAGATAAAATATAACTTTAAAGGCAAGTTTTACGTGTGTGGTAATTTTTACATAGTTTGAAGGATTTAATTTGTTTATAGATAGGGATTCTTAAGTAATGAACCTGAAGTTCAACTAAATGATGACATTACCCATCTAATTCAAAATTGCGCGACCTTCTAAAATATTCTAAAAAAATAGCAAAAATAGAGCCTTTTATAATAATATCAAGGTGATGATTTGAATTTTTAACATCATATAATAAATTGAATTTAAATATTATCGATCTATTATAAGCATTGGCTTTAACTTTTCCCTATTTCAAAATAATACAATATATCAAGTCTTGATTACTCTCAATCAAAAGGAAAAGGTTGAGTATTTACTTCCTATTTCTCCTGAAATTTATTTTCATGTTACAATAATCTTTCACATAATTACATCAAAATAAATCAGTGATTGTGATATATTTAGTAAGATTTAATAAATTGCCTTGAGCTAATATTTTCTTGATTATATAATCTAATTTCTAAATAAAAAATTGTTAATTAGTATTATCATAATTTAATTGAAGATTACTTCATTTCATTAAACCATGAATTATTATTTGTCTAATGTTTCTTGGTTTCTTTAAAACTTAAGCAACATTCAATAGCATAGAATTTTTTTTTAATCATTTAAACATAAACAGCTGAACTCTTAAAAGATTTCAGATAACATATTATAGTTTTAGAATAACTAAAAAAATTCTAAGTTACGATAATTAACATCTATTATCATAGCTAGCATTAAACTTTGATTATGTTGGGATTTGAATATCTTTTATTTTAATATTTATTAAGTGAATTCAAAAGTATAATGTTTTATTAACTTAATAAATTAATTAATACTAAATGATTTAATCAAAAATGATAGAAAATGAGGAAGATCTTTGTTGTTCTTTGAAACATAAGCTTCCAGTCTTAATGATTGCTTGCGATAAAGAGCTCAAGAAGAATTAAAGACTTTTGTGCCCTATTTGTATGGAAAATTTAGAATCAAAAACCCCATTAATGAGCCTTAAAAAGGCATTGGAAAAAATTGAAGAAAATTAAAAGTAAAAGAAAGAATCTATTGAAAATGTGTTAATGATTAACATCAAATAACTTGAATAACTCTAAAAAGCCCTTCATTAATTAAAATCTAATGTTGTTCAATAATTGGATTATTTAATTGGAAATTCAAATGAATGGATCAAACAAATATAGATTTGGGGACAATCAAATGTTACTTACAGTTTCTTTGATGAATTAGAAATACTAATTAATCAAACAAATCTTGATTATTTCGATTAATAAACTAT